TATGGAAGGTCAGTAAGCAGAGGACCGATCATGGTTACTGTTTTAAAAACCTTTTTAAATCAGAAGGGAGAGCGCCTTTATAAAAACGTGGTTTGAATAGAATTTATGTTGCTTTGTAGTGTTAGTTACAAGACAGTACGGTCGCGCAGTCTTCCATTTACTACAGGTTTCTTCTGCTTTACAGATCCTGACCCTGAGAATCCAGACTCCATGACCACAAATGAATGTCCATCCCCAGACACCTCTCAACATACTTGTAAAAGCCCTTCAAAAATGAGCAAGGTAAGAAGATTGACCTTTGAAGAAGGCCATTCAGAAAAGTGAATGGTAATCTGCATAGGGAGGTTTTTCTGCTGTTATCAAGTATGTTTGTGATTTTTGGACGCTTTTTGACCAAGTGGCCTAATGTACTCACTGTGCTTCCATAGTTACATTTTTTTCTCCTAGAATTCCGCCCCTGGGACACTGGGTGGTCTGGTGTGGTGGCGGTTTCTTTGGAAACTAAAGATGAGGGACTGGAGATCGATTTTCTTTCTCCTCATATGTGACTTCATATATATTTAATAGTTTTGTACTTGGAGTACTTCTATTTGAACAATGTAAAACATGTTACAAATCACAACGGTTTGGGTTTATTTACCCAAACCAAATGATCATTAGGTAAGGTGTAGAAATCTTCCAGAATAAGGGTTAAAAGCCGGTTTCATTGCTTAAGGGAAAAAAGGCAAATTTAATATAGGGACCATTATTTCCTTAACTTGATCGTAATAAAAATTAATTCAGGGAATTCAGTTGAAGCCCAGTAGCACAACTTGTAGCCACTGAAAAAGCAGGCTTTTCAGTATCCCAAGCCTCTGTGATGGACTTCTAGATTCTACATTTATGAACGAGGGTGTAAATAACATTAAATACCACGATAACAAACCTCAATTGACATAAACGTTTCTTACATGATATGTTTCCTTTCCATAGCCTGGTTCACCGGGACCTGTACTTCCTGTCCAAGCACATGGGAAAATACTCACAAAGGCAGAGTCCCATTGGGAGGCGACAGTTACCGTGTCAGAAGTGGAGAACGGTGTTCACCTGAAAACAGAGCTCCAACAGAAACAGCTATTAAGTAACGCCCAGGCGCTTTCCAAGAATCCCCCTCCTCCTCAGCCACTCGTCCGAAGCTCATCTGAGCAACTTCCACAGAAGCTGCCCTCTGCGCCAGTGAAGGCGCACTGCCCTCCGTCCCCTCACGGAGAAAATCCTCCCAAGGCCTCAACACCTCACCCACCTGTACAGCACGGTTATCTCTCACCAAAGCCCCCCACCCAGCAGTTAGGATCCCCCTACAGGCCTCATCACGCACAGTCTCCTCAGGTGGGAACCCCTCAGCGAGAGCCTCAGAGAAATTTTTACCCCGCGGCACAGACCCTTCAGGCCAGCGCTCAGCAGGCCACCTCCGGAGCATTATTCACCCAGACCCCCTCGGGACAATCTTCAGCCACGTACACCCAGTTCAACCAGCCGAGTCTGAACAGCACGGCTCCACCCCCTCCACCCCCTCCGCCTCCTTCTTCTTCATCTTATTATCAAAACCAGCAGCCCTCTGCAAACTTTCAGAGTTATAATCAGCTTAAAGGTGGGCTTTCCCAACAGACCGTGTTTGCGTCGGGACCAAATCAAGCACTTCCTGGCACTGCGAGCCAGCAAACCGTCCCAGGACACCATGTTACTCCGGGGCACTTCTTGCCTTCCCAGAACCCTCCGATCCACCATCAGACTGCGGCAGCCGTGGTCCCCCCGCCGCCCCCCCCGCCCCCCGCCCCTGGACCGCACCTCGTCCAGCAGCCGAGCTCTCACCAACAACACTCTGTGGCTCACGTGGTGGGGCCCGTTCACGCCGTCACCCCTGGGTCGCACATTCATTCGCAAACCGCGGGCCACCATTTGCCACCACCCCCTCCGCCTCCGGGTCCCGCCCCTCATCACCATCCACCACCCCATCCTTCCACGGGACTCCAAGTTCTGCCAGCACAACACCAGCATGTTGTAAATTCGGCGCCGCCTCCGCCTCCGCCACCGCCACCTTCCAGTGTTTTGGCTTCTGGGCACCACACCACGTCCGCTCAGGCCTTACACCACCCGCCTCACCAAGGACCTCCACTGTTTCCTTCGAGTGCTCATCCAGCCGTGCCACCGTATCCCTCCCAAGCCACACATCACACCACTCTGGGGCCGGGACCCCAACACCAGCCTTCTGGAACAGGGCCACATTGTCCATTACCAGTCGCAGGTCCTCATCTCCAGCCCCAAGGACCAAACAGTATTCCAACACCTACTGCTTCAGGGTTCTGTCCTCATCCTGGCTCTGTGGCCCTGCCACACGGGGTTCAAGGACCCCAGCAGGCATCTCCGGTGCCTGGACAAATCCCAGTTCACAGAGCGCAGGTGCCACCGACATTTCAGAACAATTACCACGGTTCAGGGTGGCATTAAAATGGACTCCAAAAACATTTTTTAAAATGTTCTGTAAGATAAACTGTATATTTCATATGTACCTGTTAAGGTACTTTTTAAAGCTTGTACATGAAACTTTGTATAAAAAAAAGAAAACAGAAAAAACACCAGTGCTCTTTCATTGTATTTTTCCCATTTTTGCTTTTTAAAATTCCTTAAAAGATGTGCTGTTAAGCCAGTATTAGGTATCTTTATTTTGTAAGTGAACATTCCAGCTGTTTTTCTGGCAGTAGATTTGATGCTACACGATCTTTAAATTTTATTGTTGCAGTTAAATTCATTTAGTGAATGTTTTCTATATTATTTTATACATATGCATTTAAGTACACAGCTAAGTAATGGCACTATGAGGAATTTCATTTTTCTTCCTGTCAGCAGTTCTGTGAGTGCATCTTAGGTATAAAAAAAATGCAATACAGATTTTTATAGTTTGGTGTGGACATGGCTCATTTTGTTTTACCGGTTATTTGCGAGCAAAATGTAATTTAATGTATAGATGATTTTTAACGTCTCCCGACACACTGTAAATACTGCATTTCTTTTGCGTATATAACTGCTTACAGCTTTTCTCATTGGATATATAGCGTTGTACATATGACAGGTCTTTGCAAAACTGTGTGATCTTTGTGAGAGTAGTACAGTATATGGCCTTTAATTTCTTTTTTATTTTAAATATACTGTCACATTGAAGCACTGGTTGGGCATTTTAATTCATGTTAATAAATCACAATTATGTCAGTTTTACCAGATTGTCCTGTACAACTTCTGAGACTGGAGTCTGTTTAAAAAAAAGTTTCAATTTTTTTCAGGTCTAGTTTGTAAGGAGCCTTCTCTTCTCTTTAGCGACAACCCCTCAGCAGTCGTCAGGAGGCAGTAAAGGGTTGCTCCTGTGATGCTGCTACTTGTCACTGTCGTAGGAGCAAAAGTCACAGGAAATTGCTATGGAGGTGCCACCCACGTGTCCTTCTACCTGACCTCATACAACGTGAGCCCGTACCATTAAAGTGTCATGCGTGACAGAGAGACTATAAAATATGGAGTAATTGGGCCAAAAAACACACAAATATCTAATTTGTACACCTTAGGACATGTGTGACGGCAATGTCCCGATTACTCAAAATTATTTGAAAACCTTAACATTTACTATTGTCTAGCTATAAGATTCAGAAAAAGGAATTTTAAAAGTTTGTTTTGGGTGTGCAAAAGGAAAGGAAGAAGCTATTATTCTCAAGTGAAATGAAAACAGCCTCTTTCTAATGAACATTTTGCTGAAATAGGAAATAATAGTTACTGTTTCAGAAAAATAAATTGTCTTCTTTCTCTGAGGAGGATTAGTTAAGTACAACCGACAGTAATGACATGTACGCATTTTTCCAGTTTTTACCTAATGGCGTCATTTGGCACAGCACAAAAATTGTGTGCTGGAGAAAAAAGTGAACAGACTAAAAATGACTGGATAATATTTGGCAGTAATGAAAGTCACATTGTGCACTTTTAATTCCCATTTCCTTCTGAAAATTAGCTAATGAGGGTACATTGAGAGCCATGTTTAGGGCTCAATTCTAATCAGCTTCAAGTTTTAAAAGAAGTTACTTAGGTCAACTCTGCCCTCCTTGAGTTTAGCAAACAAACTTCTACTTCCTGTATTCACTGAAGAAACACTTGTCCAAGAAAAACATGGCCCTACGTCACCCGGCCCAGTTGTTTCGAAGAACAAAGGTTAACTATTAGCACAGCGACCAGCACTACTCAAACTCTTGAAAGGACTGTCGTCCTAAGAATTTAGAATTCCTGTTATAAATCTGCCCACGACACAAAGAATTTATAGAGAAGCTTTTCTATGAATTGCAGGATCTTACGTAATTCCTCAACTCCTCAATGAAGGACACACGTACCCTCAAATACTGTCCTCTACCAAAATTTCATTAAAGTTATAAAAAAAAAATTCATGGAAGATTTAAAAGCGGAATTTAAGGAATAAACCCAGCTAGGGATACAAACTGAAGTTCTCTGGCCAAGAAGAACAGTGGTCTGTCATGCTAACTAGGGAGGATCCACGCACAGGAAGAAGCAAGTCAATAAATCAATTTTCACCTAAAAAGTTCGGCTCTTCTGAAGGCCCTGTATCTTTTTTTTTTTTTTTTTAAAGCCTTTGGGCAGCTCTAATTTGCAACCAGCCAGGCTCTCACCTGCTATCATCACATGTGGTCCACTGCTTGTCCTTCTCCACGAAGGCCTGGCGCGGACCGGAGAGAGGCAAAGCGGGACGTTCGCTAGAGAGGTCGAGCCGGCTGCAGTGTTCCGTAGAACCCGGGCTCCTCACTCGGTTTTTTTGTAAAGGATTCTTTATCATCAAGCCACCAAGTTCCCGCCAAAACCCATACTATATACCTAATACAAACATATTATGGATATTATATTCCTTCTAGAACTTTTTTTTTTTTTACATTGTACACTAGTTAGGCTCTTATAAGGGACAGGTCTTTACAAACTTCGTAACAATCTAGTTTATTTTCTAAAATGAGCCGCAGCTGCATTAGACATGTTTCATTCAAGTGTCCTATTAACCCTGATACAAATTCTTCAGTTAGGGGAAGATGAAGACATAGATACACTTTGTGGTTCTCGTAAGAACGGATCCTGGTAAGACTGTGTCGGCAGCCACCATCCGTCGCAGAACCTACATGGTAACCTACACCCTCAGCGGAAAGCCTCAGCACGCACGCTTCATACGGGGTTCTGTTCCACCTCACAGCGCTATGTGATTATCATGCTAACTCCTGAAAGACTGGGTCTTGTTCCCTCCCAGTGAAAACTAGTAAAAAGAGGGAAGAAAATCTGCAGTGCTCAAACACAATGTCATCAGTATGGATTTGATGCAACACGAATGAAGAATCACTGAAGTTCTAGGCACTGAATCTGTACTACAGAAGCTCTTCTAAATTCATATTCTACTCTTACAACAACACAATGAACGATTTCCTTGGAATAAGCCTTAATGCATGTTCTACGACTACGTTTCCTGCAACGGGCATGTGGATATGTCCTTTGGTTTGGGTTACACTACGCTAAAAGGAGAGCAAATGTTTGTTGATTCTATCGCTTCAAATACAGGCCAATGACCAAGGCAATGTCTGGAAAAAAAAAAAACCAAAACACTTTAATTTTTAAGACAACCGCAAGCACCTCAAACAATGGATTATTATTACAACACTTGTTATCTTTTCACAATCTAGTTATTGCAAAGGCATATGGATAATGTTAATGGACAAAGTCAAGAAAAACGAGGCACCTTAATGAATGTAAAATTTTTAAAAAACCTGACATTCAATCCACTGACTTCTAAAAGAGGCTAAATGAACCTCTGTATATTACATTCTAAAATCGTATTGCCTACAATGGTTTGTGTCCTGGATTCTACAACTTTAAGGAAATGCATAAACAAAATTGTGTGCAGCCTGCAAAGGGAAAATCATTTTCTCACCTTCAATGCATGGGAAGACAATGAAAAAACTCGTAAAATTGCTGTAGCCACGCATATAACTGCCTCTGGAATGAATGTGATCCGTTACCTCTGAGATGTTAGGATCATGCCCACTGCATCCCTAACTGTACATACCACACCTTGGTTTTAAACAAACACAAGTAAACTTTTCAAAAAAAAATATGTATTTTCTAATTCCACACACTGCACATGGTTTTCGTTGTCTGATTTAATCTATGCAGAGTTTAACTTACAGTGTTTGGAGGAGGCAACACCACATGGTACCGAGCCATCACATTTTTAAAGGGAAATTGCTCCTTTACCTTAAAAGTACTTTTAAAAATACGCAAAAAATATGAATGGGAGTGCTAAAACTATAATACGTATTTTAGAATGAAAGCATGTCTTTTCTTGCTTTAAAGTGCCATATAGGGAATGACAGAACTCGGAGTCACTTTGTTTAAAATCCAATGTAAAAGGGCCATTATGGAATGACAAGTCTGCACAGCTCCTGGGAGCAGTTCAAGTTCGCTACATGCAACTCCGGCTACAAAGCACTCAAGACTTGGTAGCTTTTCTGAAATTGAAGTCCCCATCCCATATTTAATGGAAATTAACATTTACAGGGTGCATTTACATACACTATATTACAGGAATGATGTCCCTTTGCCAGAAGATAAAATTGTACATTTCCTTGCTATTTCTTGGTTCCCACTTGATAATTTCTTAAGATTGTAAATTATATAGTACTCAGCTAAAATATTTCTTCATAAATAGTTACAAAACCTGCCAAAACACAAGGGGGAAAGTATTTTCCGTTCAAAAAAAAAAACCTGACATTTGAATGTCACACAAGAAACGATGCTTAGAGACATGTTATTGTTTCCAGAAGAGAGTGGGTCAGTAAACTACTAAGCTGACGACAAAGACTACCTTCCCCAGGGTCACAGTGCACAAAGAGCAGAATGTCAAACAACAGTACCTCGAAGCAAAATAAAGGTCTGAGGATGAAGCCAGCTCACTTGTAATCCCGTTAGAGAATGAGAGTCACCGTTTAGGTCCAATGTACTGGAAAACATGTGCTAGCTCAGAACGCTCTACCGGTAGAATCTGCTAAGAATTCAACCAAGGATGCCGAAGGCATTCGCCAGCTGAGGCTCGTTTCTCTGGAACCATCTCTAACATCGGGATCAGGAAATCTGTAAACTGTGCGGCATCTTCGTGGGGCCAGCCGTACTTTTCCACAAGGACATCAAAGAGGCTCCAGGGCTTCAGCTTGGTGATATGCCGTAGCTCTCCTGCAGGGAAGAAATGGGCAGCGTCAGGAAAGCTCCGAGTGTGCACTTCCCACCGGCGGCCCCGCCAGGCTTTCGGTGAAGCGGACGCCTACCTGCCGTACGCTAAGCCACACGGGAGGCCTGCTCCCCCCATGCAGCGGCCAGGCAACGTCCAGTGGCCATTGTTATTTGGCATAAGCCCGGCGAAGGCAAACAACGGGTTCACTGAAGAGGGAACAGTCCCCCAGGATGTTTGCTTTTTTCTTTTTAAGTTTATTTAACTTTATTCTTATTGAGTAATCTCTGTAACCCAGCATGGGGATCGAACTCACGACCCGATATTGACAATCACAGGCTCCACTGGCTAAACCAGCAGGCCACCACACCTGGAATGTTGTCATCTGCGAAGACTGACAAAGGCACTCTCTCTCTAATGTTGCATCTTCTGCAATTTGTAAATTTGCTTTAGAAGCAGCTTTAAGATACACATGATGTAAGCTCCTTGGACCATTATTTCCGCGTGTGACCGGGCACAGGAAAGCGAGTCTTTGCGTCTAGCAAAGAGAACTTTCTCAGATGGCACAGGTGTACTTGAGCTCACTAATCCAACACGGTAGCTCCTAGCCAGATGTGACCGCTGAGCCCTGGAAATGTTACCAGTGCGATTAAACAGTCACAATTAGCGGCTCATGTGCGGGGCAACGCAGCTCGAGACGCCAACCTGAACCAAATACCACTCAACTACACTGGCTGTAAAATCTAAGAGCCCCAGACATCCAATCTTGAAGCCATGCTAGCCGCAGCACCCGGGGGATGGGCCACCAGGCACCCGACTCACACAACAGAACGACTAACAATCTAGTAAAGGGTCTGAAAACTAGGACGGCCTTTTTCAAAATAGGTAAAAAAAGCAGATTTAACTCAAACTGCCAAAAGGTCAGGATACCTTTCATTATGATTACTTCCTCTTCTCTTCCCCTTAGAAATGTTCACAGGATGCCCCTCCTCTCCTGCGGCTCACACAGACACGCCGTCCAGTGGCCGTTCCTGCCCCCCCCCAGCCCCCCGGCACAGCTCTGGGCTTAAGAGTGCCCGCCAGTCCCGCTGAGGCAGGCACCCCACAGGCACCCCCACGTGAAGGCCAGCTGTCCCCTTCTCTTCCACTTGCACTAACCCACCTGCCAAGGGAGGGGTCTCAAGGTGTGCATTAAGGGACGCTCACTACCGGGCTTATGTACTAGGTATTTTCGGGAGGCTTGGTCTGTTTCACCCATTTATGTGTCTCAATTTGGACCATCCTCCTCTTTCTTTAGTCACAAAGAAAATAAAAGAACATTACAGAAAATTACAAAACAAGAAGGAGGAATGACCTGTAACCCCACCCACAAGGGTTTTTTTCTTTTGGCCTCTCCTCTCATGGTCCTATGAACCTGTATGTCTACAGAGCCGTCATTGTCACGCGTACCAGATCTGGAAGAAACAGAACTTTACAGAATGTTTCTTGCTGGAAGGATGGCGTGCAAAGTAAACGGGGGACGGAGTTCAGCGTGGCTTCCAGACTGCAGGTCAGCTCTATGTGGGGGAGGGGAGTGGAGGGAGGGCATTTAGAGGAGGCAGGGTTTCCTCCTGTAGGAGGAAGACTGTGACCGTGAGAGCAATCACTCAAAGTTCATCCCCTTTAATCTGGGAAGTCCAGCTCTAGGAGTCCAGCCTAAGAAAATAAGCCCTAGCACCCCACCCCCCACCCGCCCCAAGTACATGTACTTGCAAAATCACAGATGCTCAGTGACGGAACGGTGGTTACAGAAACAACAAACCACGATGCATCAGCGTGATGAACACCATCTCATGCTACTTAGTAACACGGAGGGAAATTATATGGCCCAGCGTCTGGTACTAAAAGAAGAATAGAAGAGTATGATCACAAGAGTAGCCTTCAAAGTGCCCCTCAAGATGGAAAGCAGGTGCCCCCAAACATCAGCTTTGTTAGGTGGTGGCTTCTGTCTCTGCATTCTCCATAAGGCAGAGACACCCTGGAGCTCTGTCTCTGACAGAGACCCTGGAGCTCACCAGAGCAAGGTTGACAGGAAATGGAGAAAGTTCGCACAGATCCTTCTACAATGAGTCCTCGGGAAAGGGGACAGAAATTCACTGACCTCCATCTATTCTGACCTGGAACGAACACTCCCCGGGTTTGCGAATGAACGTTACCATGGAGAAGCACAGTCCGCTCAGAGCGAGGACTCTATCTCCGAGGAGGCCAGTTTTAAACTAAAATCCATCAACAGGCATCAAATTAAGTACCATCTTCCATGAAAGAGAGAAGCTTTACCACAGCAGTCGCCTTAAAATCTGCGTAACAGTGATGACAACAACACAAGCTGAAAGGCCACGAAAATCTATGTATTCAGACCTAACGAGCTATAAAGGGATAAAAACACTTCCCAAGAACAGACTGGAACACCTAACGCACCCTGACCAGCTAACCCCACACAGAAAGCCACGTGCAGAGACGCGTCTGTAACAGGAACGTACGCAGCAGGCACAGTAACCCCCAGCTCCGATGGGTGCACGGGGCCACACCGCCACCTCGCCTCCAGGAGGAACTAGGATGTGATTACGGAGACACGGACACGGGGAAGAACTAATGTCAAGGGGAAAAGGCAGGAAATCAAGCGGCCTCGGCCCGACAAGGACATGCGTACATTCTTACGTTCCGCTCACTAAGAAACAGGGTTACCAATGGTTGATAAAGGCCATTTAAAAACAAGCCCTCAACTCCCAAACGTGCACATCTGCCGCGGGACGAGCAGGGACCCCGTCACCTCCACGACCACCACTGACGATACAGAATGGAAGAAGAAAACGCGTGAGAGACTACTTTGTGCTCTCAGTTCCCACTGTACAAGTAGCAGGACAAGTTAACAAATTTTTACCCTGACAACGTTTTCTCCCTTAGGAAAACACACCAAGATATGTTTCACTCAACAAATTCTGCAAAGAACCAGACACTTAATAGTGACAGACTTTATTGTTTAAACCGCCTCCTTCCTTTCCTTCTTAAAGACCACCTAGTACCACTCAGTCTTTCCTCGGGAGCCCAGCAAGGCCAGCCGGACGGCCCTACCCTCAGCAGCCCCTCGTGATCGTAATCCGCTCAGGGGGCAGGGTCCCCTTGACGGAGCTGAGGGAAACAGACAGGAACAGGCCCCCAGGACGGCTCCTCCACCCACCAAGTCAAGGCTTTGCGACCTGCTACTGTATTTGCCAGGCCCAGATTATCAGAGTGCTTTTTGAGGAAGAAAGTTAAGAACTTCCAGTAGACTCCTCCTGAAGATCATTTTAAGTGACCTGTGAGAAGGAAAGTACTTTATTTTGTCCACTAAAATTATAATATTCCAGAATTAAACATATAAGCATATAGGGGACTGTGAGGCAAAGCCTTGTATTTCGGGGAACACTGGTAACTAGAAAAGAAACCATGATATAAAATAGATTCGGATGAATTTCAGGGCACGTAGATAGAGAGGAAACCTGTCCACAAATACTGGCATACAAGCAAGACACAAAACAAGAAACAAAGAAATTCCTACAAATTTGTAGGTCAATATCTGAGTTCAGCATCTGTATAAGCCTTACCGCCAACATATACAAAAATTAACTCAAAATGGATCACAGCCTAAAGCGTAAGAACTAAAACTATAAATTCTTAGTAGAAAACAGAATAATCTCTGTGACCTGGAAGCAGACAATGGTTTCTCAGATAGGACATGAGAAGCCCAAGTAACAAAAACAAGTAACAAAGGAAAAAGTAGAAGATTGGGCTTCATCAAAATTAAAGCCTTATACTTGAACTATCACACATGTGCATTTAAACGAAGTTAAAACAGGGGCACCTGGGTGGCTCAGTCGGTTAAGCGTCCAACTCTTGTTTTTGGCTCAGGTCATGATCTCACCATTCATGGGATCAAGCTGCAAGTCTGACTCTGTGCTGACAGCGTGGAGCCTGCCTGGGACTCTGTCTCCCTCTCTCTCTCTCTGCCCCTCCCCCAACGCGTGCTCCCTCCCTCTTTCTCCTCTCAACTTAAAAAAAAAAAAAAAAGCCAGAAGTAAAAACACGTCTACGCAAAAGTGTAAAATATTCACAGCAGCATTATTCATATGAGCCAAAAAATGGAAACCCACATATTCATCAACTGGTGAGTGAAGAAACCAAACAGGTCTCTCCATACATCAAAAGCAGAATACTGGGGCACCTGGGTGGCTCAGTCGGTTAAGTGTCCAACTTCGGCTCAGGTCATGATCTCACGGTTCTTGAGTTCAAGCCCCGTGTCGGGCTCTGTGCTGACAGCTCAGAGCCTGAAACCTGCTTCGGATTCTGTCTCCCTCTCTCTGCCCCTCCCAGGCTGTACTCTTTCTCAATCTCAAAAGTAAACATTAAAAACAAGCAGAGTACTGACACATGCACCCACATGCACGAGCCCTGAAATAGGAGTACACGGAAGAAACCATCACAGAGTCCACACACTGATTCCATTTACACAGAAACCCAGAGAGAGAGAGAAAGAGAGAGATCGATTGATCAGAGGTTGCCGGGGGTCAGGGTGGGAAAAATGCAGAATGAATGTTGATGGGCAAAGGGTTTCTTGTCGAGAATAAAACTATTTTGAAATCAGATGGTGACGGCTGCCTAACTCTAGAATATTCTAAAACCAACTGAACTGTACACTTTTTAAAAGGGTGAATTGTATGGTATGTAGACTACATCTGAATAAAGATGTTATTTTAAAAACTGGAACAAAGCTTACAACAAAATAACTTTAAAAGAATCCCAATGAGGCACCTGGGTGGCTCAGTCAGTTGAGCATCCAAATTCGGCCCAGGTCATGATCCCGCATTTTGTGGTTTCAAGCCCCGCATTGGGCTGTGTGCTGACAGCTCGGAGTCCAGAGCCTGCTTCAGATTCTGTGTCTCCCTCTCTCTCTGCCCCTCCTCTGCTTGCACTTTGAATCTCTGTCTCC